CCCAGCTCTGCTGCTTAATCTCCTTTTATATCTCAGAAGAGATTGAGTCAAGACACAGCCTCCACTAACATGGTCTGGTTAACGTAAAAACAAGAAAAGGAACCAAACTCACAGCCATCAAGTGGATTCTGACTCTTAGTGACTCTTATTCCGAGGTTATAAACCACTAACCTGGTTAGCAACCAAATGCCTTAACCACTGTACCACGAGCGCTCCTCTAACAAAGACAACCTATTTCCAAATGGGATTATTACCACACAGATAGGGGTCAGCATGTACAACACGTATTTTTTGGGTGTATGTCCAATCCATAACAGTGCCAATTTTGACAAAGAGTCAGGAGCATTTCTAAGTATTCTTAATTCATAAGAACATGGTATTTATAGAGGCACTGGATGGTCAAGTGACATTTTTACGTTGTGCACCATTGGGTCAATTGTGACTCCGACCTTATAGGACAGAGTTAGCAAGCGTTTATTAGTAAATGAAAAATTGTATTTCTTAAATTCTAGGAATCAGTGATGGACCGTCAGTCACTGCATTAACCAACGGCTTTGACACCCCGGAAGAGAGGTATCGGAAACTCAGAAAGGCAAGTTGATCTGCGAGAAAGTCGTTTTCCACCGTGGTTCTCCCAGTGCTGACCTACAGAGAAATACAGCCTTTGAACTTGCACGTAAAGTTTTTTAAATGGGACACTTCTTCCCAGCCCCACATGAGATGATATTTTAATGGTCTTTAAAACAGCAAAAATAATTGTCTGCTGGAAAACCTTTTGGGGAAGGTTGAGTATTTTCAGTGTTAATGTGGTTTCTTGGAGACATGACGTGTTTGAATCGTTTAGGAATAGCTGTGACCTGATGCTTTGTATGATGGGTGGGGGCTTCATAGGGAAACAGTCGTTAGGAAGGATTTGTAAGTCAACAGTGCCTCCAATGTCTACTCTGTATTATCCGATTGGAAATCCTCTGCCCAAGTCCAGTGGAGTGATTGAGAAAATCCACCTAACTGAAATGACTGTTGCTCACGTGGCCTTCACCGCAGTTTTGACGGGTGTTTCGTTTTTCTTTTCCAGCATTCCATGCACTTTTTGCTGTTTCAGTTTGGCCTTTGCACTTTTAAGTACGACCACACAGACTCAAAGTAGGTTGTTTTCACAAGCATCTGGAGTTCTTTTCTCGTGGCCTCATGTGACCTCCTAAGTCTCTTTGTATCTTTTATCTTCTCCAGGTATATAACGAAGTCATTTAACTTTTACGTTTTCCCGAAACCCTTCAATAGATCCTCACCTGATGTCAAATTTGTTTGCCAGGTTAGTAGCATAATTGTGTTTTTGTTTTATGAATTGCTGATGCATCATTGTGGAAACGTGGGCTCATTGAATTTTGGAATTTTAGTCAGACTGTATTTAAAATCTGGGTCTAACACCAACCTTGCGGCTCCAGGTTTGGGGGCAAATAATTCTACTTCCCTGACCTTCAGTTTTGGGGGTGTAAATTAATGACACCCCTGTGTCCCTCTTTACTTCGGAAGGAATTAAGGAATGAGATCCAGGAGTCAGACCAGGACGTCAGCTTTCATATGGACAAAGCTGAGGTTAGGAGCATGGTTCGGAATATGACTCCATTTGGGATCCCTAATACCTTACCCCTCAGTTGGGCCTCCACATCTGGGGCTGCAGCCTTCCCCCCATCTGTCCTTGAACCCATCTCCCAGGGTAGAGCTTTTTTCCCTGGAAGACTAGAGTGTATGTGTGTACTGTACAAAAAGAGAGAACCCAAGTTGGAGAAACCAAACCCAATGCTGTTGAGCCAGTTTCGACTCACAACGGCCCCGTGTGTGACCGTGGAACTGCTCCGTGGGCTTTTCTCAGCTGTAGTCTCGATGGAAGCAGATCTCCAGGCCTTTCCTCCTGTGAGAGGACCCAGAAGGGGCTGGAGCACATATGCACATCCGTTAGGAAGGAGAGAGAGCGGAAGGGCTGTTGTTTCCTCCTCACGTGGAGCGGGGCCGACTTTATTCTCATGT